GTTTAACATTATTATTTACAATATAATTTTGCCATTGTTGTTATAAAAAATAAAATAGACTAGTAAGGTTTTTTTATCAGTATGTACTAATACTTGTCTATAAACGCCATTTTTAACCTAATTTCTCTCAAAGTAGAAAATTTACCCTTTTCCCTTTCAAAATTAAAAATTACACCATAAAATTTAAAACAAAAATTTTAATTTTAATTACAGCTCATCCAACTATTCAAAAATAAGTTAATAGTATAGGAATTATTACTTATTTATAGTAATAAGTATTAGACTAGGATTAAGTATAGTTAATAGTGGTTTAGTTAAAAGGATCAACAAGAGTCATGTTCGCTGTCAGTAAATCAGGTGATGACATTTAATGGATTTCTATTAATTATGTTAAATAAAAATATTAGTTATCTATAAAATTCCTAACATTATCTTAAGCACATTATTGATTTCATAAAACTATGCAAAGAAATGGTTTTTGCATTTTTGTAATTTTTAATTAGTTTTAGGTGTTTCATTGACATTTCGTTGTCGTTGCCTAATTTTTCTTCTCCACTGGTTGACTTCTTCTCTATGTCACTCCCGATATCTTTGAATACGTATATTTCTAAGAGTGTTCTTCTTGTCCACACTGAAATTACAATTATATGAACGAAAAGTTCAAAATATTATTTCAGTTTAATGAAAATAATAACTATTTTACCGTTTGCTAGAAAGTTTGTAATGTGTTGATCGTATGCTGAGTACTTATTTCAAAAAACTTGGCTGAGAGCTTTTTTAATTTAGCCGCTTGTCTTTTTTGTGCATGTTTATTTCTTCTCAGTGCCTATCACAGTATCTTCGATAGCATCCTTTTCTGAGAGCACCTTTCTTGTTCACTCTTAATTTATAAAGGTATTATTTTACTGTTAATAAAAAGTTATAAGTATACCATAATTTAAAAAAAAATTTAGTTACTTGTATTCATTCTCATTGATTGTTTTTTTGAAGACCGTTTGCTGTCGTCACACCACTATTGATTGTTTTTTCATTACAAGTCGGTGTATTTTTTTCATCGTATATTAAGTGCTCTATCAACTTCATAATTTCTTCTTTTATTCTGATTGGGGTTCAATTTCAACTATCTTTTCGGTCATACTAAAAGACAAAATATATAATCATGAAATTGCCATATAAAGGTTTAATGTGTGTAAATAAAACTATAAAAATGTGTTAAGCGATTAACTAAAGGCTTTCAAATTAAGCTTTGGGTTTTTTGCCTACACTGAATTTAATTTTTAAAGACTGGGCCAAATTTCTGATAATTTTTTAGTTCAAAATAATATTTCAAATAATTTTTTTAGAGTTTGATGGAAACATTGTTATGTTGCTATACTTTGACTTGAATCACTTGATTGTGTGTCATGCAGTTAACGTTTCAGCTAGCGCGCCATTAGATGTTTTAAATCAAAAAGATTCCTACACCTAATCTAACTGTACTAATAAAAATAACTACAAATCACAGCTTAAGCTTAAATCTAAAATTTTACAACAAATATCCTGTATCGCACTCCTTAATAATGGATATGTCTTATGAAAAAATTAAAAAAAAATCAAGAAAAGTTTGTGCATAACTTAATGATACAATTGAAACAACATGAATTTAGAAAATTTTAATTACTTGTATGCATTTTCATAGATTGATTTTTTAAGATCATTCTTTGTTGTTACACAACTATAACTTATTACTACAAGTCGGTGTTGTTTTTTCCTCTTGAGATATTGTGAATTGCTCTTTCAACAAAACCGCATTTTCTTCTTTTATTTTGGTGGCCTGTTTATCAAAATCACCTGCTTCATCTTTTTCGATTTTAATTGTCCCTCTGGAAACTCTAAAAGACAACATATATTTAAAAAAAATTATATTAGTTACATAAACTTTTAAGCGTTGGAAAAGTGTATTTGGGTTGATTCATTAGGTTTTAGTTTACATTTAAGCATAGCTTAATGTATCATATTAAACTCCAACTTGATAAATATTACTACAAAGCCTTATTATTTTATTAAATTTAATACCATTAAGTAAGCTTAGTTTTTATTTTAAAATATCAAAAATGTTAATCATACACTTTCCTTTTAAAAATCTAGATTATAATTAACGTTAGGTTAATTATTAAAATTAATAATGGTATGTACGATACAAATGTTTTTTGTAATAACGTTACTTGTATGTATTGCCGACGAATGTCGTTTGAGGATCTTGTTGGGCTGTGACTATACTACTATACGATTTTTCCATACTTGTCGTGGGTTCTGTTTTAATTTCAAAGGTTAGTTGCTCTATTGGCTGTTCATTTTCTTTTATTTCAACAATGGGCTCGTAATAATAATCATCTGTTTCATCGATCTCAATTTGAATACTCGATAAACGCTCGTCAAATTCGTTATCATCAAGAGCATAATTCATTTTTAGTCTTTTATTAGGTACATCATTATTTTCATTGACATCTAGAAGTCTTCTTAGAGACAATTCATCAAGTTTTTGGCGTTGACGTCTTTCTTTACACCTTTCAGCATTGGTTTTTGGTTTTCTTGATACATTATTTTCGGTAGAAACGGCTTTTTCCAGTTTTTTACTTAATCGGTATTTTTTACATCTTTCAGCATTGGTTTTTGGTTGTTTCGATACATTATTTTTGGTAGAAGCTGCTTTTTTCAGTTTTTTACGCAATCGGCTTTCTTTCTGTCGTTCTGCTGGTGTTTTAGGTGCAGATTTGGGAAGTCCTCTTTTTTTCCTGTCACGGTACCTCTTCCATTTATTGGGTTTAACAGATTCGGAACTTAATGTTGTAGTACACGCAGACGTAGATGCATTGGTACGGTGAAGAGTACATTTATCCGAAGAAGAAGAAGGAGGGCAATTTGGACCCGGACAGACGATCACTGGTGCGCAGACAAAATCATCTGTTTCATCTATTTCAATTTTAATACTCGATTTGTTAACTCTAAAAGACAAAAAAATAACTTAGAAGACATAGTCATGTAACTGGAATGTAGTTACACGTGCAACAAGGGTCATGTTTGTTGTCAGTTAATCAGGCGATGACATTTAATGGACTTCTATGAATTATGTTAAATTAAATAAATATGTTGGGTATCTATAAAATTCCTAACATTGTCTTAATCACATTTTTATTTCTTAATACTTTGCAACAAAATGGTTTTTCTATTTTTAAAATATTAAATTACTTGTAGGTGTCAACGTTTGTTTCATCGATAGGATCGTTTTGGGTCGGTACACAACGATTTTTTGATTTTTCATTGCAAGTCGGTTTAGTTTCTTCCTCGTAGGCTTGGGCGAGTCGATCTTTGGACTGTTCATTTACTTTTTCAACTTTAATCATGGTCTCGTTACAATAAAAATGTGTACTTCAACTAGAATTTTTGACTTGTTTTCTTACTCAGACTCCATAGACTAAAAACAACCTAAATATTTTCAAAAAAATGTTAGAAATAAAGATCATAATCATATAAATTTTTTTTTTATAAGTTACTTAAGTCTGTTAATTTTTGTGTAGCTTGTTTAATAAGATACACTTTAACCCAATACTTACGGAGGAAATTGGTTTTTAGTAGAGAGCCTACATAATATGAGAGCGTTCAACATGCTAATGCGCACTGCACATTGTTGATTGATAGTATGTTAAAATGAGAATGTCATTTTTTGATCAAGACTTTTTTTTCGAGTCAAATGGGAACTGGATCAAGAATGGTAACTGCCTTTTAAAAGTGATAAATAAGTAATTTCATTTTCCATCTTGGCACAGTTAATTTGAATATTATAGGTTATACTACTGGTGGTACAATATGAGTTATAAAATTGAGCTGAAGTAAATTGATTGAATTGGTAAAAAGACTCACAGTACAGAGATAGCTTAAAGAGAAATTATAACACATTTTAAACAGGAAATAAATATAAGAATCCTATGTAACAAAATAGCGACCCATACAGTGTTGTACTACTTATAAATACATCGCTACGGCTGTCGATAGCTCTAGTCTCTTTACATATCTTTATTATATTTAAGAGAAATAATTTAAGAAGTTTTAATTACATAAATAAAAGTATAATAACAATGATGATATTAGTACTTACAATTTTACACAGTTACGAAAAGGCTATCTAAAATATACATAGGTTTTTTTTAAAAAAATGACTTAATTTTTAGAAAATTCACACAATTTGCAGATAATCAATTGATTTAATTGCATGGAATAAACAATAAAATCAAAGATAATATTATTTATTTTATTATACACTAAACAATCTCAAAGCCCAAAGAAAATAAGTTCATAAGTGTACCGTTTTTAAAAGTAAATTAGACAATATGAAATAAGATAATACTCAGTAAAAAGGCTATTGCCAATTTTAAAGAAGGCTATTCTTTGGCAAACCTTATTAGTCGTGTAATAAAGAAGTTTGAGCCATAGTTTGTAGGAAAGGCATTAGAAAGGGAACGAGAGAGTGTGTGTTAAGGTAGGTTTGCGGAAATTGATCAATGATAGTACAGACGGACCATCTATTTTATTAATGAGAAAGGAAATATTAGCCACATGTCTACGATTGGCTAATGTAGTCGTGAGGAGGACAAGGAATATTATTAGTATATATGTGTCGAACCGAAAGAAATGTTTTTGAACACGCCCAAACGAGTTACTAGCAGCAGCACTTAAAGGATCCCAAAGAACTATTCCATATTATAATTTCGGACGAATAAGGGCACAGTAGAATGCTTTATGATGAAATACGTTGAATAAAGGCAAGTACTTTGAGTGATCTATGACATACTTTCAGAATACGGTTGTTAGAACGTAAAGTACGTGTAAGTGTAAAACCTAAGTCACTAGCAGAAGAAACGGGGAGGTTCTTTATGTGGTAAACAAATGGTATTAGAGTTGGACGGCGTGAAAGAGACATAACATGTCAGTCGTTTTTGGATTGTTCGGTAGTCGGCAATTACAATTATTACTTACGGCTACGAAGGCAACGGTGGCCAGTGTTCTCTGTTATCAAGACGCCAAATCAAGTTCCAGCTATTAAATCACACACTTTATACTATAATGTTATTACTCATCCTATGAAAAATAATTTCAAACATTTTCAAATAATACGGGGTTGTTATAAAAATGTTTGGCTATACATACAATTATTTACAAAGACAAGCTATGATTATTATATCATTTGTATGCAATAACTGATAACAGTGGCGTTCGCAATGGGCGACGGGTGGTAGCCACAGCGGAGGCAATACAAGATAATCATTTTATCGTGAACACCACTCAATGTAACCAAGTAGGATTTTATAAGACATTTTTTTATACAATGTAATCTCAATCTTTCACAATTTTTTTTGTTGTTTTTTCTCCACTCCCAACTTGGTTTTGAAACTTAAATACAATTCGTTAACTTTTTAATTTGATTATAATTTAAAAACGTTTAGGGATTAAGGTGTGAAAATTAAACCTTTTGTATATTGGAGCTAAAACATCATAATATATTATAAAGTATACATTCTTTATTACAAAAACTTCTGCAGTCAGATATTGTCATTAATTGCACTAATTTAGAACTGATGAAAACCGTTTTGAGCGAAAAATCATAATGTAATAATAATAATAATAATAATATTTATACAGATATTTTAAGGAAATTATTAAAACATTTTAAATTGCATAAACATTTATAAAATAGATTTTTATTATAATATAGCACACGCGTTTTTAGACATTTTTAATGTAAATTTTACTTAAAACACGTGTGTGTTGACTTTGGTCTAAGCCGATGCCAAAAATTGCAGCTGAAGCAGTACTAGGTATTTCTCACCGCTGCTCGGCCAAGTATCCGTTTCTTTTTTAAAGTACTTGGTTATACGCATTAAGATACGCATTGATTCTAGACCGACTCTCATACTGGTTGTCATACGTTCGGCGATCATATATTTGCCAGTACTCACCAAGCCCATCATGTTAGCATATCGTTGACCGAACTCCGCGCATGTATTATTGAAGAATTCTTTTCGTTCTTCCAACGACTCGTCTCTCTTCCTTAACACTTTGATGGCATCTACTATTTGACGGACCGGATGAATCGATATTAAATAAGCGTTAAACTTGTTTTCGATGTCGGCTATTATAGGATCGATGTCCTTGAAGTGCTCAATGATCGGCTCCGACGCCATATGCTCTATGATTTTTTTCGATATACGACAAAATCTATTCAACATCGAAACACCTTCGCTTTCGATCACGTTCATAAGCCGGATAAACGCCTCGACGTGACGTCCTTCGCTTACACAGCTGTCCATCGCTTCGCGCAACGTTCGGCCGACGGCACCACGGGTAACGGGTCCCTGTACAAAGGCCATAAAACTGTCTATATTTTGTAAACCGGTCGCCACCGAATTTCCGACGAACAAAACATTGTGCTTCAGATTTTCAGTGACCGCAAAAGGCGGTGTCACGCCGAATTTTCCATAATTATTCACCACAACGGCCGGGATACTGACACATCTTTTCCGAGTGAATCCGGTCACTTGAGTGTAGCAAGTAGTGTCCAACAACTTCAATTCCATAAATTCCGACTCGGTTTGATACAACATTTCAATGGTTTCACGTGTGATCGTCGTTTGACAACACCGAAGACTGCATACAGCAATAACGCAGATTTGGAAGAAAAACATTTTTCACCTCGTGTTCGGTAATCGTCAAAACGGGTATACTGTGAACACTAATATTTTTCACAAAATTATAACTGCCCACTACAAAAGTATAGTTCACTACGAAAGTTTTTTGTGTCGACCGAATCGTCGTTTTACCTTACGTGGCAATCCGATCTCACATTTTACAGTGTTATACAATTTCTTTGAAACGCTTATTTTTCCGTAGTAGGTCGCGTATATTTCTATTTTCTCGGGCAGAAAAACTTGAACAAACAACAAGACGGTTTTGATGTTTGACTTTGGTGAAATTTCGTTTCGTTTCATGTACTTTGCCCGTTCCCGTCCTTAATAATTGATTATTTTTCTGTCGACTGAATTTTCGTTACAACTTCCAAAACATATTTTACAGGTACATTACTGTGGAGTTGTATTACTATTTGTTTCTTTTTAGAAACACTCGGAACGGATAACGAGACGATTTTGAAACAATGAGAATAATGTACTGAACGTTATCCGGTTTTGGAAAATTATTTTTGATGTTATTGCCGTTTCTAGTTTAGGGCAAGAGGAATGGTCGTGGAGGGCAGTGTTATTTTTATCTGCGCGCACTTCCCCTCCCATCCTGACTTTTAAAATCTTATAACATTCAAATTAATTGTTCAGATTTGTTTATTAACCATTCAACATTTTCAGTACATTATTTTTAATCTGAAAACTCTTTAAAATTTACAAATTGCCGTTTAAGTTTCAAAAGTTGCTATCGAAAAAACTCAGTTGGAAGGGCGGTAAAAACATAAATAAATCAATTTAGATCACATTGTATAAAAACAGTATAAAAAAATAATAATTAGTGAAACGTGTAAATCATTATGTTCCTAAATCATTTTATCGAATAATTATTACCTACACCTAACTATGAAGAGGCTGGCCGGTACTATTGCAAGTAGAGGAAACAGCAAAACCAACCGTACTATATGATATTACAAAGTACGGTAGTTATTCGTATAACCATTTAATGTTTGTTGGTCAGATTAATAATATTATAAATACTGATTTCTACGTGTAGCTACTCTATAAATCACAAATCGTACCAGAAAGGCACTTTAAATGATGTAAAAAATAAAATATATATTTTTATGGAATATTCGTTAAACATAGAACTAGCGGTAAATATTGGGAAACCAAAAAAAAAATAATAGCATAAACCATTTCCCCTAGAAGGATATGGTATTTTTTTTTTCTTTAATTCACTTTTTCAAGCAAAGTTTCAAGGATTAGGTATGCAAATTAGACCGTAAGTAGAACTATAATGGAGGTGACCTATAACATCATACATATAATATATGTATGTACATTTTTTCTTCAAAATTCTGTAGTCAAACATTAAGTAAAAGGAAAATGGGAAAATTTCACTTTGCTAACTGATGATAACCATTTCGAGCGAAAAATTATAATAAAGTAATAATAATAATAATAATTACAAAAATATTACATAGAAACTATTTAATTTTTTTTAATTGCTTATACATTTATTCTTAGATTTTTATATATTAGATAACACATAAGGAACTTTTGGCAAACATTTTTAGATATTTTGAATTTAAGTTTTAGTTATAAAATGTGTGTGTAGATTTTGACCTAAAGCGATGCCACTCGGAAATATTAAAATTGTCTGTTTCTATTCTCACTTTGGAGTTGATATAGCACATTGAACTCGTCATCACCGCCGCTTGGTCCAACGTCGGTTTTTTTTTTAAAGTACACGATTGCAAGTCTTAAGATATTTTCGAATTCTCGATTGGCTATGGAGATGGACGGTATATGTTCGACGTCAGCATATTGGCCAGTGCTCACCAAGTTCATCATGTTAACATATCGTTGATTAAACTCCATGCACACATCATTGTAGAATTCTTTTCGTTCATCCAGTGACTTAAATTGCGCCCTTAATGCTTTGATGGCCTGTCCTATTTGACGCACCGGCTCGGTCGCTATTAAATACAATTTAAACTTGTCTTCAATGTGTTTTATTACAGGATCGATCAAATCAAAGTGAGGTTTGATTGCCTTCTTTGGCATGTTTTTTATTATTTTATATGATATACGACATATTCTACCCAACATCGAAATGCCTTCACTTTCGATCACGTTCATAAGCCGGATAAATGCCTCGACGTAACGTCCTTCACTTACACAGTCTTCCACCACTGCGTGCAATGTTCGGTTTACGGCAGGACAGCAATAGGAATTCCTTACAAAGGCCATAAAACTTTCTACATTTTGATAGTTGGTCGCCAGCGAATTTCCAGTGAATAAAATATTATGGCTCAGATCTTCAGTAACCGAGAAAGGCGGTATCACACCGAAATTTTCATAATTATTCACTACAACGCTCGGAGTACAAACACATCTCATCTGAGGGGGAATTGTGGGTACGCGAGTATAGCACGTAGTGTCCGAAAACACCAAACTCATAAATTTCCGTTCAGTTTCATACAACTTTTGAATGGTTTCCAATGTGATCATCGTTTGACAACAGCGAAGACTGCATAGGGCAATAACACAGATTTGGAACAAAAACATTTTTTTAACTTATTTATTTGTTATTTTTGAAAAAAAATCCAAAAATGCTATCTGTGATCAAATGATAATTGTTATAAAATGAAAGCTAATATTTTTTTACAAAATTATAACTGCTCACTACGAAGTATATGTTGTATCAACTGAATCGCCGTTTTAACTTACGTGGCAATCTAAAACACTTTTCACAGTTACATTAAATTTGTTTCTAACGATTAGTCATCATTTTTGTAGTGGATTTTAATTAGACTTTTTAAAAAACCTTTTCCTTTAAATTCCCACATAAAGTTTGTTTCTAACGATAATACATTCGGTAGTGGGTAGATTTGATTTATTAGAAAAAAAACTTGATCAAATAACAAGACGATATTGGATTGGTTTGATGTTCGTTTAGTGTACTTCACCCCTTCTCGTCTTCCAAAAATAAAAAAAATAATTTGTCATTAGTATTTTTCAGCCTAACGTTAATACAGAATAATTGTTAAAAGCACATATAGTTCTTATTATTGTTATTTAAATGTAAAGACTTCAGCGGACATTCCGGTAGTCTCTGTTAATGTGTAGATACTGGACTTGTTTTTGGTACAATCAACTTGGTTAGACTGTACCTATTTAGTTCAAGCTATACATAAAAACCCTAATATTTATTTGGTATAAAGTTGAATCTAAATAATAAAAATCGATAATCACATAATGTTAACGGGAGGAGGAGGGGTGTGGGATATGGGTATTTATTATTATATACATTTGAGGCTTTTGCCCTACGCCAATTATACACACTATAATAAGGGGGGGGATAGATATTTTTAATAGCTTTAATAAAAGATAATAAATAGGTAAATCGGATTTCACACTCATGCGTTATAACGGTTTTAATTTGAACAAATTCTGTTTGATACACCTTATAAACGCATAATTTTCAATTTTCTTCTAATCTATAATTGATAGAAAATTGAATCTATGTATGTCTTACATCAAAGGGTAATGGGGGTGCTTTAATTACATGCTTTAACACTATTTTCTTGTAAGCTAATGATATTTAACAATTCAAAATAATCACCCTATGTACCTACTTTATAATTTTATAAGTATTTAATTATTTCTTTATTGTATTAGTCTTAATGAAATATTACTTATTCATTATTACTATTCAAATTGTTTTAATTATTATTTTGTCTCAATCCGAACAAATCGTCGAAATTCAACTCTGTTTTTTTTTGTGTGTTGACACGTTTATTTATTTTAGTTATCTTTTTTTCAGCTATAAAAAATCTGCACCGCCGATAATAAAATGGCTACGGTATTAAACAAGTACTAACAGTATTAAATAATTTGGGGAAATAACAAGAAGTAATATTTATAAGATACAAGATTTCTAACCAAAAAAATAATTAGAAATTATTAAAATGTTTTGCAAATTCAAGATATCGTGTAAAACTAATAATAACACATATTTCGTCAGCCAAAAAAAATACAATATAATTTTTCAAACGCTATGTCACGCGTTTCTGTAAAATTGCAGCGGATTTTAATGTTATTATAAAAAAATTATTCTTATAACTGATGTATGCAACACGAGCTAAGGCTTTATTTGTTCAATGTTATGTTTGAATAGCTGATATTATTCACGCGCGCGTTTGACATAAACTTTACGGTATAGTTTCTAATACAAGGCGATTTTGGCTGTACAGAATGAAAAAGACTTATTATTATTTTTTACAATTTTATTATTTGTTATTTCAGTCCACCCAATTTTGATATATTTGATCAAAAACAAGAAAAAAATATTTTGTCAATTAAGATCAACTAAAAACTATGAAAAAAAAGGTCTAACATCTCAGATGAATTTGAGAGAATCGTAGTCCAACCAATCACCCTGTACGACATGTATTAAAATATTAATACTTTGAAAAAGTAAAATGCTAGTAACAGTATGGCTTTTAAATCCTCTATTGACCAGTATATGACCATGGATGATCTAAATATAGTGATACTAACGGCGGTGCTTTAGCAAAATATACGAATACTATACCCATATGCACTAAACAATTTTTATAATATACTATTAACACTGGTAAAATTAATTTTAAAGATGTTCAAACCTTAATATAATATCCAGATTACCAAATATGCTCTGTTGTGCTAAATAATATCTATTAACAAATTCTCTGATGTATTGTCCAAGTTGCTTAACCTCGTAGAGCTGCACAAAGCCTATAAATATGTGTAAAACCCCAATAATCCGCTCTCTGGTTACAATATACAATTGGGAGAAAAGATATCAAACATAATATTAGAACTTAATACTTAAGCAAGAAAAATGTTCACCGGTAATTTTAGTACACCAATTTAACCCTTCAACGCGCCATGTTGCTCTCTCGTAACAATCTATTTTCCCTTTTCCATTATTTCGTATATCATATTTCATCTTACTAGTGCATCTAGCGGATAAATCTAAAACTCTTTAATATAAAAAAAAATCAGGGTTGAACATTTTTCAAATTCAGTTTACCAGTTTTAATAGAATACTAACCACATAGTTTAGATATAAATGCCTATAAAAAACTCAATTTTTAATCTAAAAATTTTCAATTTAATACATAGTTTTTACATCCATTAAACAAAAGTTTAAAGAATAATATTTATAGTTTATTAAAAATGTTATTATAAAAAATTCGAACATGAAAACAATTTTTGAGAAAAAAATCATTGAAATCACACTTTCGATCACGTTCATAGGCCAAATTAACGCCTCGACGTAACGTCCTTTACCTAAACAGTCATCCAATACGTTGTACAATGATTTGTACGACAGTACCATCATAGTTTATCTGTACATAGGCCATATAATTGTCTGGATATTGCTTACCGGTTGTCAGCGTTTTTTTAACAACGCCAATTTCATAAATTTGGACTAGGTTTCTTGCAATGTTTTAATGGTTTCCAATGTAATCGCCGTTTGACAACGGTCAAGACAGCATAGTGCAATACCACAGATTTGGGAAAAAACATTTTTTTACTTATATTTGTTAATTTTAAATACCTAGAAGTGGACATTAACAAGGGCGCAAATAGCCACGAGGAAATAGAACTTAGATTAGCAGCGACAAACAGATGCTATTTTTGATTGGTTTCTCTATTTAAATCAAAGATTTTATCACGGAAGACAAAAATAACTCTTAACAAAGTACTAGTGAAACCAGTAGCCTTGTATGCACGTGGGGCCTGGGCTACAACAATGTCGGATGAATGTAAACTGGCGACCTTTGTACGAAAGATATTAAGAAAAATCTATGGTCCAAAAATTAACAATGAAGTAGAATCAAGACAACTATACGGAAAAGCAAATATCATCGGAGTTCTAAAAAGTAGTAGCAAACGTGTAGAGACCGGAGGGACCAATCGGACAGGTTACGAAATAGAGACCAGACACGAAGAGACCTAGGGGGCATCCTAGACAATGATGGAAGGATAGAGTGGTCAAGGATTTGAAAGAACTTGGAATAGAGAATGGGGAAGAACTGGCAAGTGACAGAGACCAATGTAGGCAAGTGGTTGTTGTGGCAATAGACCTGAATGGCCTGTAAAACGCCTTGAAGAAAAACGTTTTTGCTAGTAGGTATATTTCTATTTGTTTTTTTTAGGAAAACTCGGAACGAATAACGAGACGATTTTGCAACAATGAGAATAATGTAATGGACATGTTTGGACTGATCGTTAACCAGTTTTGGATAATTATTTTTGATGTTATTGAAGTTTCTAGTTTAGGGCAGGAGGAATGGTCGTGAAGGGTAGTATTATTTTTATCTGCGCGCACTTCCCCTTCCATCCTAACTTTTAAAATCTTATAACTTTCAAATTAACTGTCCAGAATTGTTTATTAACCAATCAAAATTTTAAGTATATTATTTTTAACCTGAAAACTCATTGAAATGTACACATTGCCGTTTAAGTTTCAAAAGTTGCTATCAAAAAAACTTAGTTGGAAGGGCGGTAAAAATATTAAAAAAATGTTAACAATTTAGATCACAATGTATAAAAACAATGAAAAAAAATAATAGTTAGTGAAACGTGTAAATCATTATGTTCCTAAATAATTTTATCGAATAACCTAACTATGAAGAGGCTGGCCGGTACTATTGCAAGTAGAGGAAACAGCAAAACCAACCGTACTATATGATATTACAAAGTACGGTAGTTATTCGTATAACCATTTAATGTTGGTCAGCTTAATAATATTATAAATACCGATTTCTACGTGTAGCCACTCTATTAATTAGAAATCGTACCAGAAAGGTACTTTAAATGGGGATATAAAAAATAAAATGTAATATTTTTAAGGAACATTTGTTAAATACCAATAGAAATAGGGTACATATATTTGTAAACTAATAAAAAAAATAATAGCATAAACCATTTCCCCTAGAAGGATAGAATTTTTTTTTCTTTAATTCACTTTTTCAAGCAAAGTTTAGGATTAGATATGAAAATTAGACCGTAGGTAGACTACAATGGAGGTGACCTATTACATGATACATTATAATATATTATATACACATTTTTTTCTTAAAAAATCTGTAGTCAAAACATTATGTAAAAAAAAAAATGGGAAAATTTCACTTTGCTAACTGATGATAACCATTCTGAACGAACAAATATAATATAATAATAATAACAATAATTATACAAATATGAAAAAGATATTATTACTTTTTTTTTAAATTGCTTTTATTGTAGATTTTTAATATTAGATAACACATAAGGAACTTTGGCAAACATTTTTAGATATTTTGAATTTAAGTTTTAGTTCAAAAGTTGCTATCAAAAAAACTTAGTTGGAAGGGCGGTAAAAATATTAAAAAAATGTTAACAATTTAGATCACAATGTATAAAAACAATGAAAAAAATAATAGTTAGTGAAACGTGTAAATCATTATGTTCCTAAATAATTTTATCGAATAACCTAACTATGAAGAGGCTGGCCGGTACTATTGCAAGTAGAGGAAACAGCAAAACCAACCGTACTATATGATATTACAAAGTACGGTAGTTATTCGTATAACAATTTAATGTTGGTCAGCTTAATAATATTATAAATACCGATTTCTACGTGTAGCCACTCTATTAATTAGAAATCGTACCAGAAAGGTACTTTAAATGGGGTAAAAAATAAAATTAAAAAAAAAAATACCAAAAAATGTACATATTTTTCAACTTAAAAAAAAATTCCGCTTGAACACTTTTTGTTTAAATACTCGAATGGAGGTGACCTATCACATTATACAATTAATTTATTATTATATTATATACACATTTTTTTCTTAAAAAATCTGTAGTCAAAACATTATGTAAAAAAAAAAAATGGGAAAATTTCACTTTGCTAACTGATGATAACCATTCTGAACGAACAAATATAATATAATAATAATAACAATAATTATACAAATATGAAAAAGATATTATTACTTTTTTTTTAAATTGCTTTTATTGTAGATTTTTAATATTAGATAACACATGAGGAATTTTTGGAAAACATTTAAGACCTTTTGAGGTCAAATACAATACTATTACTATTACTAATATAGATAAATGCAAACTCCAATTTTATATACTTTCAAGTCATTAGTTGAAAAATGTGTGTGTTGATTTTGGCCTAAACCGATGCCACCCGTAAATGTTATAATTGTCCACTTAAATCCTCTATTTGGAATTGATTCTGGGCGTTTAATTCGTCACCCCCGCCGCTTGGTCCAGCACTTGGTCCAGCGTCCGATTCATTTTTAAAGTACGCTTTTGCGCGGTCTAAGATAAATTCGAGTTCTTGGTTGGCTCTGTAGGTATTCGATATATATCCGAAGTCTGCATATTTGCCAGTACTTACCAAGCCCATCATGTTACCATATCGTTGACTAAACTCCATGCATGTATTATTGTAGAATTCTTTTCGTTCTTCCAATGATACGTCTTTCATCCTTAATACATTGATGGCGTCTATTATTTGACGCACCGGTGCAGTCGATATCAAAAACATTTTAAACTTGTTTTCAATGTCAGCTATTACAGGACCGATTGTATTAATGTGAAGAATACATGCCCCCATATTTCTCTTCTGTATTATTTTAATTGATATATGACATATTCTAGCTAACATCGAAATGCCTTCACTTTCGACCACGTTCGTAAACCGAATAAATGCCTCGGCGTACATTTCTTTAACTACACAGTCCATTACCACTGCGTGCAATGTTCGGTTTACGGCAGTACAGCAATAGGTATTTTTTACAAAGGCCATAAAACTGTCTGTATTTTCATAAATAGTTGACAGCGAATCTCCAGTCCATACAAAATTGTGGCTCTTATCTTCAGTAACTGGAAAAGGTGGTGTCACACCGAATTTTTCATAATTGTTCACTACAACGTCCGGAATACTAAGACATCTTATCCGCGGGGATCCGGGTTCGGTAGCAGTATAGCAAGTATTGCCCAAAATCATCAAATTCATAAACTTTGACTCGGTGTGTTGCAAATATTGAATGTTTGCCAATGTGATCATCGTTTGACAACACCGAAGACTGCTTAGAGCAATAACACAGATTTGAAACAAAAACATTTTTTAGCTTATTAAATTTGTTTTTTTTTTTGAAAAAAATTTAAAAAGGGTATCTATGATCTTTGTTATTAAATGAGAGCTAATATTTTTTACAAAATTATAACTGCTGACTACTAAGTATGTTGTATCAACTGAATCGCCGTTATAACTTACGTACCAATCCAAAACACTTGTTACATTAAATTTGTTTCTAACGATAATATTGTTTATAGTTAGTAGGTTAGATTTTTTAGAAAAACTTGAACAAATAACAAATGGTTGATGTTCGTTGAATGTACTTTGCCCTTCCCCGTTTATCATTTTTACCGTACCATAATATCTAAGCATTCGCAAAGGCGAATAAAGTTTTTATTACTATTTAAACGTAAAAAAAAAATATTGGCTTACGCATGTGTAGACACTGGACTTGGTTTTGATACAATCATGCTATGCGGGCTTATATCTTACTTGATTAGACTTTTCCTATTTAGTTTAAGCTATATATACTCGTATATAAAATATCGATTATTAGATAATGTTAACGGGAAGAGGGGTTATTATTATATAACTTTGAGGATTTTACCGTATGGCAAAAACTGCTATGCTCTATTTTCCATTGCATTAATAGAAGCTATTATACAGGTAGATCGGATATCACATTCATGCGGTATAATGATTTGAATTTGAAAAAGTTCTGTTTAATACATCTTATAAACGCCTTATTTTCAATTTTCTCATAATCTATAATTGATAAAAAGTTGAATCTATGTATGTCTTACATCAAAGGGTAATGGGGGTGCTTTAATTACATGCTTTAACACTATTTTCTTGTAAGCTAATAATATTTAACAAGTAAAAATAATCACCCTATCTGTGTACCTACTTTATAATTTTATAAATATTAAATTATTTCTTTATTGTATTAGTCTTAACGAAATATTACTTATTCGTTATTACTATACAGATTGTTTTAATTATTATTTTGTCTCAATCCGAACAAATCGTCTAAATTCAACTGTTTTTTTTTGTGTCGACAATGTCGACACGTTTATTTATTTTAGTTATCTTTTTTTCACTTAAAAAAAAACCTGCACCGCCCATAATAAAACGGTACGGGGTACGGTATTAAACAAATACTAACAGTATTAAATAATTTGGGGAATTAACAAGAAGTAATATTTATAAGATATAAGATTTCTAACCAAAAAAATAATTTGAAATTATTAAAATGTGTTTTGCCAGATTTCATGATATTGTGTAAAACTAATAAACCACACATATTTCGTCAGCCAAAAAGTAAATACATACAATATAATAATTTTGCAAACGCTATGAAGCGCGTTGCTGCAAAATCGCTAAGGGTTTAATGCCATTGTAAATAAATTGTTCTTACAACTGGTCTATGCACACGAGCTAAGGCTTTATTTGTTCAATGTTATGTTTGAAGAGCTGATGTTATTCGCGCGTGTTTGACAAAAACATTACGGTATAGTTTCTAATACAAGGTGATTTTGACTGTACAGAATGAAAAAGACTTATTATTATTTTTTACAATTTTATTATTTTATTTATTTTAGTCCACCCAATTTTGATATATTTTATCAAACATAAGAAAAAAATATTTTGTCAATTAAGATTAACTAAAAGCTGTCAATTTGAGAAAATCGTAGTCAACCAATCACACTGTACAACATGTATGGAAATATTATTACTTGCTAATATTAAATAAAATGTTAATGACAGTATTGATCTAAAGATGATGATACTAATGACGGTGATTTAGCCAAATATACAAATATTATTATACCCCCATATGCACTAAAAAAAATCCTATAATATTTAATTAACTCTGGTAAAATGAATTTTAAAAATGTTCAAACCTAAATATAATCACTTACTTCCTAAATACGGTCTGTTATGCAAAAAAATATCTATTAACAAACATCATTTTAATAATTAGAAATTCAGTCCCAGGATTCAACTAACGTATTATAACATTTTGTGTAAAAATAAATTTTAATAAAATAGATTTAATTTTTAAGAAATAACACGAATGTTAAACTGCAACTGGGTGTTTTATTTTATTTTTAAAACAAGAAAAGGACTAAAAAAATCTTTATCATTTATTTCAAGTAATTAGTATTTTTAGATATGGAAGACAAACAACGCGACTTCTATTTAATATGCTTTGATTTAACATATTTTGCCCGCATTTCCCAACGGCACTTCCCCTCCCAGCATAACTTAAAAACTGATATAACTTTAACAGTTAATAAAATATATACATTACCATTTAAGTTATAAAAGTTGATATAAAAAAAAATATTGAGTGGTTCGCGATAAGTGGATCACCCTGTATAGAATAACCCAAAGCGTGGCTTAAACATTAACAAATGTAGATTTCGATGTCTATTACGGGTTTCAAAACTTAAAATTTGACCTAATTCTTTTATATATTTTTATCGGTGTTGTTGAGTTATTCTTTTACTGTAGACAACTTTGCAGTATACCTACATTTGGAATACTTTAAACAATACATTACCGATTGTACGAAAAAACAAATGCACAAAAACTTATTTTTAACGCTTTCATCGATACAGGCTATTCCATCAGTATATTTTAATAGCTCAAATATAATATTCTCATAATTGTTCTATTTAGATGGTTTCTCTTGTTCGTCTTTTATGAGTCCTAGGTGCTCAGTTTAAGAATATGAACATTTGATAGGAAATAAATTAGACTTTTCTTTCAAACCGTAAATTCCAGTTTTCGGATTTCGAAATAAATCCGGATCAGCAGTGTTGAACCGGCTCCTCAGGGAAGGGGGCGACAGCCTCCCTGTTATAGAGTGAGAGGGTGGGAAGCCAGTTGGTCATGAAAATAGACTTAACGATGCTTTTTTTACCTAAACTCACCTTGAAGTGGTCGTCCATTATATTGTTATGCTCCTCTATTAAATTTTAGTTTGGTGCCACATACCCGGTTTTATGATATACCGCAAAACTAATAAAATAGATTTAACATTAAATAATCGATTAAGGAGGTTAAACGGCAACTGGGTTTATTATTTTACTTTTGTAAAAATAAAAGGACCAAAAAGACCTTCATCTTTTATTTCAAGTAATTAGTATTTTATGATATGGAAGACAAACAACGCGACTTCTATTTAATATGTCTTAATTAAACATATTTCAACATTTTACAAACATTCAGTTATTTGCCTATACGCTATTATATTTTGTTATTGTCTTTATATGGAGGAGATTTGACTAATTAATGTTGTAGAATTAGATATGTTTTGTTTTTGCGAACACTTCATACTCGCGTTGTACATAATATACCATTATTAACTAGTATTCTTACTTTGATATCGGAGTTCATTAAAATCTAATCTAAGTTCATTTGTTACAACGACCTTCATAAATTTGCTTGATAAAATATATTTTGTGCATCATAGCCTATAGTGTCTCTCAATATAAATTCAAGGTGTTGTTAAATTCTGACAGTACACCCTGTATCGATAAGAGCGACACGAGCGTAGAAAACCATGTTGTTATACATTGGTTTCTTCGAACAAATCGTAAAATACTATTTGAACTACTGCAAAAAAATATTTTTTGCTGACTACTGTAAAAAAACCCAAAAAAAAAAACACAAACCTGGAAAAATATGTTTTTCTGAGCCCATGTTTTCGTACCTAACCCGAAAAAAAATTGATAGGTTTTAAACTGGCAAATTTAATTTGATATAACTTAGCCAATTCAAGCCGGATCAATTCGAAATTTTTGAAAAAAAACATCGATTAGGCTTGCCTCACATGCGCTCAAAACCAAATGTCGACAACCCACCGCCCTCTGCGTTGGAACTCATTTTTTTTATTACTTAAGCGCAGTTTTAGGGTTAAAGAGCTGCAATTTGTTAATATTAATAACTTTATTGCAACTTTATGAAAAATTAAAATCATTTTAATAATAAGAAGTTCAGTCCGAGGGTTTTATCTGACATGTTTTAATATATTAAGTAAAAACAAATCATTTTCAAATGAAATAACCCAAAAAAAGGCTTTTACGCTAATAAATGTGGATTTTGAAGAAATTAAATAATACAAATAAACACAGAATTGTTTCTAAAATTTTTCACAAACTAGTATAATTTTTTAAAATAAAATAAAATATTTCTGACAAATGTCACAAATCTGCAAAAGTAATTTTTACACAGTAAACGTAACTGTGTATATAAATATCAAAAAAGTCATCTTTGAAAAATCATTGACTTATGTCAATGATTTTTTTTTCATAATTGAATCAGTCATTTTTAAAATGACTCTTTCAATTTGAAATTCAGTTCGAGCATATTTTAATTACATATCATATTATATTTTTATAATGAAATAACCTAAAATTTGGCCTTAATACTAAAATTTATGGACTTTGAAGATTATTATGGATTTTTAAAACTTAAAATTTTACATTATTTTCATAATTTATTTTTTTAGAGTTGTTAAGTGGTTTCTTTAATGTATAATGCAATGTGGTATGCTTACATATAAAACAACTTCAAACGATACCTTATCGGTTGTACGAAAAAACAAATGCACAAAAATAATATTTTCATCGCTTATATCAATACAGGGTATCGATCATTATATTTTAATAACTCGAATATCATTTTCTTTTATGAAGCCTATGAGTTCAGTTCAAGACTATTAACTATTGATAGAAAACAAATGAGGCTTTTCTTTAATGTCGTAAAAGCCAATTTTCGGATTTTGGACTCTTATGAAAATATTCCAAATCAGTGGTGCCGAACCTGCTCCTCGGGAGGGTGGTGACCAGTAAGTCATGGAAGTAAACTCGACGATGCAATTTATCTTCGATGCAGAGCGGACATTTGAGTAATAATAATAAAACTGTAATACGCCTTTCCAAATGGTTTGTATTAAACTTACAGCGAAAAATACAAACAACTCGTTACTAAAATATAGGTCACTGAAATCAAACATTGTCAATGTTTTTCTACGCTCGTGTCGCTCTTATCGATACAGAGTGTCCCGTCAGGATTTAACAACACCTTCTTGAATTTATATTGAGAACACTATAGGCTATGATGCACAAAATATATTTTATCAAGCAAATTTATGAAGGTCGTTGTAACAAATGAACTTAGATTAGATTTTAATGAACTCCGATATCAAAGTAAGAATACTAGTTAATAATGGTATATTATGTACAACGCGAGTATGAAGTGTTCGCAAAAACAAAACGGATCTAATTCTACAACATTAATTAGTCAAATCTCCTCCATATAAAGACAATAACAAAATATAATAGCGTATAGGCGAATAACTGAATAATTGTAAAATGTTAAAATATGTTAAATCAAGACATATTAAATAGAAGTCGCGTTGTTTGTCTTCCATATCATAAAATACTAATTACTTGAAATAAAAGATGAAGGTCTTTTTGGTCCTTTTATTTAAAAAAAAAAAGATAATGAACCCAGTTGCCGTTTAGCCTCCTGAAGTAATTCTTAAATGTTAAATCTATTTTATTATTTTTGCGGTATATCATAAAATCTTGATCAGTGGCGCTGAACTAAAATGTAATAGGAAGGGCAAAAGAATTTTATGGACACCCACCTCAAGGTAAAAAATGCATCGTCGAGTTTATTTACTGGCCACCCACCCTTCCCGAGGAGCAGATTTGGCACCACTGATTTGGATTATTATCATAGGAGTTCGAAACCAAATTTTTGTTACAACGACCTTCATAAATTTGCTTGATAAAATATATTTTGTGCATCATAGCCTATAGTGTTCTCAATATAAATTCAAGAAGGTGTTGTTAAATCCTGACGGGACACTCTGTATCGATAAGAGCAACACGAGCTTAGAAAAACATGTTGTTGTACATTGGTTTCTTCGCACTAATCGTAAAATATTATTAAAACTATTGCTAAAAAATATTTTTTACTGACTACTGTAAAAAAACCTAACAAAAAAAAACAAACCATGGAAAAATATGTTTTTGTGCGCCCATATTTTCGTAACTAATCCGAAAAAAAATTGATAGGTTTTAAACTGGCAAATTTAATTTGATATAACTTAGCCAATTCAAGCCGGATCAATTCGAAATTTTTGAAAAAAAACATCGATTAGGCTTGCCTCATATACCCTCAAACCCATAATGGGAGATTAAAAAATCTCATTGTAACCTTTAAATATCATTGTACAATAAAAATCAAATGTATTTCACGTAGTTCGTTTTGTTATAATCTTAGAATATTGCCACCTAGAAGTCACCTAGGAATTGACACCTAGGTAACAATATTAGATAAACAATATTTTTACAATTATTAGACCAAATAAGGACGAAGAGTTAATATTAACAGTTTTGTGCTTATCGGTATTTTAAAAAACCCAAAACTTTTTTGGCTTTATTAAGCTTTCAAAAATTATCTTTTTGGTTATACGTGAAAACCATAACATAAATACGATGTATATAAATGACTAGAAAACCTCGGCTACAAAGGCCATCGGCCGACGTTTTTTAAGATAATTCCTGTGTAAAGTGATAAAAAAAAATAGTATAGTTAATGTATTAATTTAACATTATTTTAATATGCATGGAAATGCGTACGTTTTACATTGGAATGTTCATGCAATTGAATGGAATTTTTCATTTAAAAGGATTTTTTTTTTAATTCACTTTTTCAAACCGAGTTTTAGGGATTTAGGTATGAAAATTAGACCGTAGGTAAAGCTACAATAAAGGCGACTCATCACATTACACATATTTTCTTCAAAATTCTATAGTCAAAACATTAAGTAAAAAATGGGAAAATTTTACTTTGCTAACTGATGAAAACCATTCTGAATGAAAAATTATAATATAATTATAATAACATTAATTATACAAGTATGATAAATGTAGATTTGTAGATATTATTAGATAACACATAAGGAATTTTTGTAAATATTTTAAGACATTTTGAGGTCATATATAATACTATTACTATTTCTAATATAGATATATGCAAGCTCCAATTTTATATAATTTCAAGTCATTAGTTTAAAAATATGAGATTAGATTTTGGCCTAAGGCGGTGCCACCCGTAAATGTTAGAATTGTCTATTTATATCCTCTATTTGGAATTGATCCTGTGCATTTAATTGGTTACCACCACCGCTGGGTCCAGCGCTTGGTCCAGCACTTTGTCCAGCGTCCGTTTTGATATGAAAGTACGCGTTTGTGCGGAATATGATAACATCGAGTTCTTTGTTGGCTATGTAGTTGTTCATTAAAAATCTGTTGTCTAGATATCGACCAGTACTTACCAAGCCCATCATGTTACCATATCGTTGACTAAACTCCATGCATGTAGCATTGAAGAATTCTTTTTGTTCAGTCAAAGGCCCGTCCTGTTTTAATACATTGATGGCGTCTACTATTTGACGCACCGGCGCAGTCGATATCAAAAACATTTTAAACTTGTTGTTAATGTTTTCTACCGCAGGAATGATTCTACCTAAGTGAAGTTGAATTGGCCTCAGTCTCATATTCGCAATTATTTTAGTTGATATACGACATATTCTACCTAACATCGAAATGCCTTCACTTTCGATCACGTTCGTAAACCGAATAAATGCCTCGGCGTACATTTCTTTAACTACACAGTCCATTACCACTGCGTGCAATGTTCGGTTTACGGCAGTACAGCAATAGGTGTTTTTTACAAAGGCCATAAAACTGTCTGTATTTTCATAAATAGTTGACAGCGAATCTCCAGTCCATACAAAATTGTGGCTCTTATCTTCAGTAACTGGAAAAGGTGGTGTCACACCGAATTTTTCATAATTGTTCACTGTAACGTCCGGAATACTAAGACATCTTTTCCACGGGGATTCGGGTTCGGTAATAGTATAGCAAGTATTGCCCAAAATCATCAAATTCATAAAATTTGACTCGGTGTGTTGCAAATACTGAATGGTTGCCAATGTGACCATCGTTTGACAACACCGAAGACTGCTTAGAGCAATAACACAGATTTGAAACAAAAACATTTTTTAGCTTATTAAATTTGTTTTTTTTTTTGAAAAAAATTTAAAAAGGGTATCTATGATCTTTGTTATTAAATGAGAGCTAATATTTTACAAAATTATAACTGCTGACTACTAAGTATGTTGTATCAACTGAATCGCCGTTATAACTTACGTTCCAATATAAACACTGTTTAATGTTACATTAAATTTATTTCGAACGATAATATTGTTCGTAGTTGGTGGGTTCGATTTTTTAGAAAAACTTGAACAAATAACAAGGCGACGTTGGAGAGGTAAATTTGTTGATGGTCGTTCCTTGTACTTTAACCTTCCTCGTCCTTGCAAAAAAAAAAGATAATATATTTCTTATATTTTTACCGTAACGTTAATATTTAAACAATCGCAAAGGCGAATGAAGTTTTATTTTTATTTAAACATTATATTTATTAACCATTCCATATTCTTATTTGAAAATATTGGCGCACAAAAATATAGTTTTCCATGTTTGTGTTTTTTTGTTAGGTTTTTTTACAGTAGTCAGTAAAAAATGTTTTTTAGCAATAGTTCAAATTATATTTTACGGTTTATGCAAAGAAACCAATGTACAACACGTTGTTCTAAGCTCGTGATTCTCTTATCGATACAGGGTGTCTCGTCAAGTTTTAACAACACCTTCTTGAGTTTGGATTGAGAACACTCTAGCCTATGATGTCCCAAGAAAATGTTAATACTGTTATTTCATTTTAAAAAGACTTCTAGATAGATTTTTTTTTATATAATATGTGAGATAGAATTCTCGAACTTAATTTCTACTTAATTAAATGATGTTTATTTTGCATTGTAGTGTTGCAATAAAGTTATTTATCTATTAATATTAATAAATTTTCAGCTCTTAAAACCTAACAATGCGCTTTAGTAATAAAAAAAAAGTTCTAACGCAGAAGGCGATGGGTTGCGCCATTTGGTTTGAGGGCATGTGATTGCTTAACTGGTGTTTTCTTAAAAAACATTAACAAAAAGTTATATCATATTAAAATTGCCGGTTTAAGACCTGTCAAATTTTTAGGTACGAAAATATGGGCGCACAAATATATATTTTTCCATGTTTGTGTTTTTTTTGTTAGGTTTTTTTTACAGCAGTCAGTAAAAAATGTTTTTTAACAATAGTTCGAATAATATTTTACGATTTATGCAAAGAAAACAATGTACAACAACATGTTATTCTAAGCTCCTGTTGCTCTTATCAATACAGGGTTTCCCGTCAGGTTTTATCACCTTCTTGAATTTAGATTTTAGGTTATATCATTATAAAAATGTAATATAATATGTAATGAAATATGTTAGATAATATCCTCAAACTAAATTTCAAATTGAATTAGTCATTTCAAAAACGACATAAGTCAATGATTTTTAACGATGACTTTTTGTCAAATTTGATATTTATATACGTAGTTACGTATTCTGTGTAAAAATTACATTTTGCATATTTGTCAGAAATATGGTATTTTATTTTAAAAAATTACACTAGTTTGTGAAATAATTAATTAACAATTCTTTGTTTATTTGTATTATATAATTTCTTCAAAATACACATTTATTAGTGTAAAAGCAACTTTTTGGGTCATACCATTTTAAAAAGACTTCTAGAAAGATTTGTTTTTACATAATATGTTAGACAGAATCCTCGGACTGAATTTCTAATTATTAAAATGATTTTTTTTTTTATTGTAGTGGTGCAATAAATTTATTAATATATATTTATATTCATAAATTTCAGCTCTTTAACCCTAAAAATGTGCTTTAGTAATATAAAAAAGTTCTAACGCAGAGGGTGGTGAATTGTCGACATCTGGGTTTGAGGGCATGTGAGCAAGCCTATTCGATAATTCTTAAAAAATTTCAATCTGATCCGGCTTAAATTAGCTAAGTTATATCAAATTATTATTGCCGGATTAAAACCTGTCAAATTTTTTTTCGGAATAGGTACGAAAATAAAGGCGCACAAAAACATATTTTTCCATGTTTGTGTTTTTTTGTTACGTTTTTTTACAGTAGTCAGTAAAAAATGTTTTAAGCCTAATTGATGTTTTTTAAAAATTTTCAAATTGCTCCGGCTTGAATTGGCTTGAAATAGAAACGAAATAATTAGAATAAATATGAGATTATGATATTTGTCTTAATCAAATATACTGATAGGATACCTTATATCGATATAAGCGATGAAAATAATGTTTTTGTGCATTTGTTCTTTCGTACAATCGATAATGTATTGTTTTTGTTTTTTATATGTTAGCATACCGCATTGTTTTATATACTAAAGAAACCACTTAAAATATCCAAAAAAAGAAATATAAAAATTAGGTCCAGTTTTGAAAATCCACAATAGTCTTCGAAGTCCACAACTTTTAGTATTAATGGCATTCATTTTAGGTTATTTCATTGTAAAATTGTAATACGATATGTAATATAACATGTTAGATAATATCATTGAACTCAATTTCAAATTCAATCAGTCATTTTAAAAACGACATAGGTCACTGACTTTTTAAAGATGACTTTTTGTCAAATTTGATATTTATATACGTAGATTGTGACATTTGTCAAACATATTTTATGTTATTTAAAAAAATTATACTAGTTTGTGAAATAATATAATAACAATTGCGTGTATGTTTGTATTATTTTAATTCTTCACATTTATTAGTGTAAAAGCATTTTTTGGGTTATTTTATTTTAAAAAGATTTCTAGAAAGATTTGTTTTTAAATAATATGTTAGATAAAATTCTCGAACTTAATTTCTAATTATTAAATTGATGTTTATTTTGCATTGTAGTGTTGCAATAAAGTTATTAATTTTAATATTAGTAATTGTCAGCTCTTGAAACCTAAAAATGCGCTTTAGTAATGAAAAAAAACAGAAGGCGGTGGGTTGTCGACATTTGGGTTTGAGGGTATTAGAGGCATGTCTAATCGATGTTTTTAAAACATTTCGAATCGATCCGGCTTAAATTGGCTAAGTTATGTCAAATTAAAATTGCCAGTTTAAAACCTGTTAAATTTTTTTTCGGATTAGGTACGAAAATATGGGCATACAAAAACATATTTTTTCATGTATGTGTTTTTTTGTTATATTTTTTTATAGTAGTCAATAAAAAATGTTTTTTAGCAATAGTTCAAATAATATTTTACGGTTTGTTCGAAAAAACCAATGTACAACAACATGTTTTTCCAAGCTCGTGTTTATCTTATCGATACAGAGTGTCCCGTCAGGTTGTAACAACACCTTCTTCCATTTAGATTTTAGGTTATATCATTATAAAAATGAAATATGATATGTTATAAAATATGTTAGATAGTATAATTGAACTGAATTTCAAACTGAATCAGTCATTTCAAAAACGACATAAGTCAATAGATAATATGACTTTTTGTCAAATTTGATATTTATATACGTAGTTACGTATTCTGTGTGAAAATTACATTTTGCACATTTGTGACATTTGTCAGAAATATTTTGTTTTATTTTAAAAAATTATACTAATTTGTGAAATAAAGTTATTAATAATTCTTGTTTATTTGTATGATTTAATTTCTTCAAAATACACATTTATTTGTTCACAAAAACAAAACGGAACTAATTCTACAACATTGATTAGTGAAAGCTCCTCCATATAAAGACAATAACGAATAACATTTAATTTTTTATATATTTTATTTAAATTTATTCTACAATTTACTTGTTCTTGTCTATTAACTATTATATTGTATTCTATTATTTATTATGGTAATTGTTAATTAATTGTAAATAATATTCTGTTACCAACTGTACTTGAGCCCTTGGGCGTTTACCCTATAAATTAAATTGAAAAATGAATTCAATAATAATTAACAGGTCATATTCCCTATGAATTGTTTTACGCCAGATATTATGAAAACACTAAAGTATAAGCCAGAAACTTGCTATGTTTTAATATACTAGCCACATTAGATACTAGATTGACGAGACACGAAAATGCTGTTTCGTGGTCACAGACTCATCTGAAAAATCCTTTTTTTTTAATTCATATTTTATAGAACGACGATATCAATTACTTATTGAAAATGTACACACATAATGTACATTACTGAAATTATCATGAATCTTGACTTATTCTATATTATATGATTATTTGTCGACATTAGGTGTACGTTATAATAACGCAAGCTTAAACTGGGTATTCATAAAAGCTGTCAAGTTTTGACTTTTAAAATGGTTTTAACACAAACGAGCCACACAACGAACACACATTTTACCTATACTTTGTAAATAGTGCAAATTTTTACGCTCATCAATAAATTGTTATCTCGAGTTGACACTTATGTAAAAATATTAGATAAACAATATTTTTCAATTGTTTGTAGTTCGAAGATGTGATGATTACAAATACTATTAATTTTTTAAATTTTCGATTAAAATAAAATACAAATTTCACGGAAATACATTTAGTCATGGTAAAATTTGATTTTCCATTTGATTTAGGAGTGTGAAACAATAATAACCGTTCCTAATTCTGTAGTACGTTGAAGCGAGCAGTTTATTTTTAAAAAGAATCAATAAGTCTACTGGTTATCAGAATCCTACGGAGGTTCAACTTCTAGACCAAAAAAGGACGAAGAGAAAATATCCGTTTTTTTTTTGTGAACATTTTATTCTCGCGTTGTAAATAGTATACGATTATTACCAAGTTTAGCTATATTGTTATCGAAATACATTAAAGTCTAATCTAAGTTTATTTGTTCCTAGTCTTACAATGACCATCATACATTTGTTTGATAACATTTTTTTGGGGCATCATAGCTAAGAGTATTCTCAATCTAAATTCAA